TCCACTAATCCCTTCCCACATCTGCTTGACGTTTCCCTCCAGGCCTCCGTTGGCCTTCTGCACTACTTCGTCCCAAATACACTTTTTCTTCTTTTTCACTAGTCCCTTCACCTGTTTTCTCTTGGCCCTGTACTTTTCCCAACTCTCCTCAGACGCCTCACTCAGGTACTGCTTGAAGACTTCTCTACGTTCCCCTATTTCTTCTTTCAGCTCGTCATCCCACCACTTAACCGATACCCCACATCGTACCACCTTCCTTCCCACTACTCTCTTGTACAGGGGGGGGGGGGGTTGAACGGAAAATCAAGAAGAGGCGGATCTCATCGCGAGAGTTCTATCAAATCCCCTCTGGACTACATCATGAGCTCAACAAATCCAATCTCCCCGACTGTAGTGGGCACAAACAAGCTCCCTGCGAACTGCAGGCCGACAGCCTGTTGCAACCGGAGAAATCCCGGATGACGGCTTCCTGGTCTCATCCCATGCGTGTCTATGGGCAGCCTGAATGCCTCTCAGTGTGAAAAGCGATAGTTGCTATTGGTGGTCGAGCTCTCAAAAACCTTTGTCGCCACCAAGACGAGATCCCTGTTTAATTTACATTTCGTTAGAGATAAACCTCAGAAGAGCTACGCAAACACGGGGATGGATTCTTGTGGCTCCGAGTGGGCTGCCTTAGGGATGACTAGGCGTACTGCTGTGGACCTCTTGCTTATTGGGATATAAGAATGGATAGACCTCTGCATCTGCGAATCCCCGCTAGCCGAGGGTGGAGAGGCCGTACTACCGCCATGTGCCTACACATACGGTGTCCCTCCTTTGCATGAAGTATATTTGAAAATTTCTATGGTACCGATGAAGGATACAGAGAACCCATTTTGTAATAAAATGTCGGTGTACTCTTGTACGCCCCTACAGGCCTTGCACCTCCAGCGGATTCGGTCAACGTAAATATGCATCGGAACCACTCGACGTATGCATGTCAACGTACGTGTACATGTTTGCGCTACAACGTTGGAGGTTGCATTGTAGATGTTCTTACATGTATGATATGACCATATATCCTCCACGAACCACCGCGAAAAATAAAATTCGCATATGGGGTCTTAGGTCGTACTGCTTACTGCTGCAGCGGCCACAGGACCCTCCCTCTTCGCCCACCCCGTAACACGAGTTGAAACCGTCACCTTTTTGCACAAAAATAAAGCCAGTTCTCCCGAGTGGACCTTGCATCGAACGGAAGCTATAGCCAGACGACACTGCTGTTGGGCGGGATCACGGTTGCGACTGATACTTAACTACTAAAGTCCAGTCCCATTGGCTTTGGCCACAACGCCACAACTGCAGTGCCGACTTGATCGACCCTTACCCTTCCCGCTGCCCCTGCCGTCACAACGACAGCTCTCGGCGCCATCGCCAAGCGGCAGAACCGAACGTGAGACAGCAGTTGCCCGATGGGAGGCGAGGGGCCGCAGCGCACTCACCAGCTTCGCTTCCATGACTTCCTTGTGAAGCTGCAGCACGTCAGTCCCCCCGGCAGCCAACTCCAGCTGCTCTTCCATGTAGAACAGCTTGAGCTTGAGGTCGAACTCGCCTCGTTCGAGCTCATCGATTTTTGCCTCCGTCGCTTGCAGGTTGATGCCTCCCTTCCCTGCCGCACAGCCAGTCAGCGGGTCGCTGCTCCGGCTTCCCTGCCTTAGTCCCGATGGCATCCCCTCCCCGGCAACGACTTCCCCTACGTGGGCGGAGAGGCCGGCGCTGCCCCGATCTCCTTGCCTAGCATGCCGGGAAGCGTTCTCGTTGCTCGCATCGTATGGGTAGATCGGAATGCCGTGGGTGCTTTTGGTGTTTTGGCGGGGTGGGCGGGCTGGCGTGAGCGAGCCGTTGATCCCCTCGCCGCTTCGGGGTTGCACGTCGAAAGAAGAGAACGCGGTAGACCTTGTGGGCATAGGATGTTGGCGCGCACGCGCTGGTGAACCTCGCGTGCAACCACCACAGCACAGACCTCAGCAGAGCAGCAAAAGACAAAGAAGTTACGGGGGGGGCCTCTGGTCTTTTGGGAGCGGGGTGGGGGGGGTTGAATCACGCAGCACGTGACTACTTTTGGTCAGTACTGGTAGGGCGTCAGCAGTGCCAGTGCCTCCTTGTACAGGAGATATGCATGAATACGTAAGTGAAAGTGAACTACACTGCTATTAAAGTCTGACGCGTTGTTGCGCCTTCCGGTGTGGCTGTAGCCCACTGGTTATTGTTGCGGAGCTGCTGTTGGTACTCCGTAGGACAAGTGTCTCTCATCGTTCGATGTCAGTTACAGAGCCAACTTTGTTTCATATATTATGCTATAGACTAGTATTGAGCATACAGCTGTAGACCTGACGGGGGGAGAACCTTAACCCTTGTGAAGTCTGCCTCCCAAGAGATGGTGTTTGTAACACCGCACGCACACATCTCGTTAGTGGGAGAGGTATAGGGGTTCATCAGTGCCCTCGTGAATATACATAGCACAGAATGATGCGCCAGGCATCACAGCTCTCTCGCACCATCTGACACTTTATGTATGCTACATCGACCTCATGTGTCGTGTTGATGTGAAGATAGACTAAATGCGGAATCTCGTTATTTCAACTGATACTCTCCCGAGCCGAGCAAGAGCGGGGGGATGGCGTCTAAGCCGTAAGTCTCGGGGACAAAGTCTAGACAACATCTGTCGTGCCCGTCTCCTCAACCCGCAAGAAACTCACTCGTCGGTGCCCGTGAAAATTTAGCAAACGAAGACGATGGGGGCGGTCCGAGTGTGAAAACTCAAATGGTGTACTGACGGTGATCCATACATAGTTGCTACGTGTTCGGCCCAACTAGTCATGTATGTGTAAATGTTGTTGCACACCTACAGCAGTAACCGTCTGCATTGATGTGCAATGCACGTGCCTCATACACACCCGGTTCCGTCTGGATAGATACATACTAGTCTACTACGTGCACGCTCGGTAGACCAGTCTACCAATCAATAGCGATTTGTGAATTGTGAGAAGCTACAACACAACGGAAGGGCCTCTAGCATATATATGCGGGGCGTCGTTTCAAACCCTTACATCTACTCCCCGACAAGAAGTGAAAAAAAAACGACGCGAATCCCTTGTTCCCCAATTTGCACCAAGATTACTAACAGACGCAATGAGCATCGACCCACTGGGGGAACGACGACAGGCAGCAGTAGACTGCCGGTTGAGATAGAAACAACGACAGATAGTACCACAAAAACCAACCGCAACTAACATATCCTGCCAACACCCAGAGCAGGAGTGGACTATTCGCGCGAACTCCCGAAAGCAGACGAGGAAATCTCTCCCGACTACACACATACGCATTGCTACGAGCCAGCAAATTGCGTCCAGCGAAATATAACCGATACTTTTTTCCTCACCCCATCCGCACGCTCGTCGTGTGAGAATGAGGACGAAGTAAAAACCCAACGTCTCCCGTTCTTTTCCGTCTTTTCCCTCCCTCTTCATTACACATAGCCCTTTCATAAACACCACGAAAATCAATTTACTTCCTCCTCCGGTGCGCGCATCCTGCTGTGCCGATTACTTACCGGTTCAAGGACATGTAAGTATGCATGTTTGAGTGCCAATCGATCCACGAGTACAACTAATATTGAACGTGCTCAGAAAAAATTTCCAACACCCGGGAGCCTCATGGGCCGATCGACCTCGCCTCCGATCCTGAGGAGGAAAAATCCTCTGTCAATCAGTCAACATTCTCAACAGGCCGCCCCGCGAATACCGCACAATAAATGGCACACATTGCACATGACCAATTCCACTCTTGAAGCAGTTATACCCTCCTTGCGATGAGTGCACAAACTCTCCGACAAACAGTAGACCCCTCCCTGGCTGATAGTTTGCTCCAGTGTCAGCTCATCCGGGGCTGAACTCGCCACCCAAACACATCTCCGTACGCAACGACAGCTGAGTGAACACAGACAAGCAACCCCGCCCTCCCTCCCAATGCTGCTATTGTACACGTATGCTTAGTGGCAGCCAACCTTGAACCGATGGATCCGCCAAGCGGCCTGCTAGGGGGAGGCGGACGGTGAACCTACAGAGAGAGAGAGACTGTGCGCAGTGTCTGGTGCCCAACTACATCGTCGCAAACACTAAAAATTGTTTTTGCATGGTACAAGTATTCATAATATTCCTGAACGTCAACCCACCGCCGCCTAGCCTTACCCAACTCTACGAGAAACGCTGACGGTACTTACGCCGACCAGCTGTACCCTGAGCGTGCCGAGCTAACAATGACCATCACACGTGCAAGCGCTACAGTGCGACTGGGTGGCGGCAACAACAACTCTCCGTTCTGTCTGCTCTGTTGCTTTTGCAAATATGAGGACTCTAGTTTGGAAGCGAAAAACTTATGCATTCATTGGGCGTCTCTCACAGCAGTATCACAACCGTACTATCAAAGATCAGAGGCAACGAGCTAAGCAGGCTTAGCGCTACTACAAGCTGTCGGCGAGTGGGGCACAGCGTAAATTAACACAAAAGTGCTAACGAAAGATGAAAAATCAATTGCAATGATGACCGGTGCCGATGGACGCCACGAGAATCCAGACAGAGAGACGCGCCCAGCTCCAAGCAAGCAAGCAACTGTTGCACATAATAATTCCCCAAAATCGTTTTGACGAGGATGGGGAAAGGGCAAGAAAACACTCCCGTGTGGGTCATTTTTCTCGAGTCTCCCGCTTGCAGAGCGGTTCACCTCCAGCCGGTGGTGGTTGCTGTGGCGGCACCCGCCCGAACTCCAAGCGGGGGGGGCTGGCTGGGGTTCGAGGCCATGGAGCTCCCACCAGCAGCAGATCCCCCCCCCGCCGCCGACGCCCTGGTGAAGTCAAAAGCCAACGCAGTATGGGAGGGTGGCGGCCACACCCGCCCGGCCATCGAATGGTTCCAGTACTGCTGCTGCTGCTGAACACTGACGTTAGCGGGAGAACCATGTGGCAGCAGCAGCAGCTGCTGCTGCTGTGGGGGGAAATGCTGGGGCACACCTCTGCCGTCGGATGATGGCGTGGGCGGCATTTGGACGGAGGGGTCCAAGAGCCTCTGAGAAACTCCCGTTCCGCCGCCGCCACCGCCGTTGCCGCCGGGCACACCGTTCACAGTAAAACCGGAACCGTTGCTGGCTCCCCCTCCGGCACCACCGCTGCTTGGAGCGGCAAACGCGGCGACGGGAGGGTAATAACCATCGCCGCTTCCGCCGCCTCCCCCAGAAGTAGCCCCGCCGGTACTAGCGTTCGCGTTGGAAGGAGGCGCGTGGGGGTAGTGTTCCGGACCCGTTAATCCTTTGGAGTGCGAGGAACTGGTTGATGACTCGAGGAACCTCTGCGGATACTGCTGACGACCGCTCCCGTCGTCGCCACCGCCGCCGCCGCCGCCGCCGCCGCCGCTGTCGCTGCGCTGCGGGATCGCGGTGGGTCCCGGGACGTTGCGCGCGGACGGCGGGCGGTAGGACGACGACGAAAACACGGAGGAACCGGCGGCGCTGGCGACCTGTTGCGCAGGCGACTGGATCGCAACCGCCGACTGCTGTGTCGGGGGCAAGCCCTGGGGGTTCGAAGAGCGTGGTGGTTGCTGCTGCTGCCCCAACGTCGTTTGGCTGATCCCTTGTTCGGAAGCCGGCTGCGCTGTTGCTGCTGCTGCTGCTGTTGCTGCTGCTGTCGCGGTTGCGAAGTGATCTCCGCGTCGCAAGCTTTCGTGGCTTTGCTGGGCTTGGTGAAAGCCGCTATTGGTGTCGAATCCACGAATACCAGAGAATTGCGGAGCCTGCGGAAGCGTCAACGGGAGGGCGGGGGGGGGGGGC